GGGCCCCCTGCACCCCAAGGGCCCCTGGGCAGCGGCCCCGCTGGCCCGGTCCGTAATCTGTCCCTGCTTCAGGGGGGGATATGGAGGCATTGCACAAGGACGCCTATTTTACTATGTTATCACAAGCAACATCACTCGGACAAAAGGGGGAATTGGAGTACATATTGCCTGAGGGGAAGGGGTGAGCCTGGCCAGCTTACCCCCTGCCCACATGCAACGCTCAATTTAGTATAAAGGAAGCGGGGGATCCCAGTACTGACTGGAGCTCAGCCGTGGGATAGAGCGCACATCGCCCGGCACTTTCTCAGGACTAATACAATGGTTTAAACATAAAACATGAAAATGCCCATGTGCCCCCCCTATTTTTCTAGTCACATACCGCTATGGCCCTATAGTATGGTCCATTGTTTGAAATGCTGCCCCCCCAGCCTGATCAGTCTAGATCCGGGCCTGACTTGATATAGGGTCGCGATTCAGCTGGCATGGTAGAAATTGGGTCGCGGTGCAAAAAATGGTTGAGAACCACTGATCTATGCAGGACTGCAGTGGCACTGAAACCAATCATCATCATCATCATCATCATCATCATCATCATCACCATCATCATCATAATTATTATTAAGGGTCCAAAGCATATAGTGCTGTGTAACCTTATTGTTTTTCTTAGGATTATTATTATTATTATTATTATCATTAGTGTGGAAATGGATGAGGTCATGTCTAGCTAGCATAAAAGGAAATACATTTGCACTGATTCAGATAGCTTTCCAATTTAATGCTATGTCTATTAGGCAGGTAACTATATTGCAAACAGTATCAATCTGCAGACTATAGTACTCCATGATAACTAATGTTAGCTTATTAACTGAAAAATAAAGATGCACTCGGTCTGTTTAACATTTTCAACCTCTATGTGTATTTTTTTTTTGGGGCGGGGGGGTGCCAGTTTGTTGACAGGGTCAGTGTGGCGTGCTGTCAAACTAATGCAATGAAGAGTGCTGCGTATTTTTTACTCAAACTTCTTAAACTGCATAATGAAAAGTGAGTAAACAATCATAAAAGGTGAGTAAATGCTGCTTATAATTAAGAAGGTGTGTAAACAATGTTTGTGTATATTTACTCTCTGTTACAGCCCTGGACTGGACCTCGAACTCCCTCTCCACATTTAGGCGTGTTTGAGCTTGGTGAAGAAATCTTGATTCTGATTCTCTTTGTCCACCTGGAAGAGAATTCGCAGAAGACCACGAGAAGACCACACATGGGATACAGACATTACCTGCATGTATAACAAGGTCAAACAGCGACTCTACTCCTCACATCAGCCGAGGAGATTCATCACAGACATTGATAGCTAAGCTTCATCTCTGTTTGGTTTGACTTGGCAACATTGCTCTCGTAGAGCAGACTACATCAGATTCCTGCGATGTGTGCAGATGATCATTGGCTGTCTGGTCCCCCTGCTTGAAGAAGGATGAGGAA